TTAAGCTCGGGTTTTAAATGCTGTGCTCTGCCAATGTGATGTTCCCATTCCCATTGCTCCTCTGTTGCTCTTTAGCCCCATGACCCTCCTGATACCAGCCAGAAAGACCTTGGAAAACAGCCCTAGGGACTGACAAACAGGTGAGAACTCTCTGACTCTCATTATGATTAAAAGTAAGGAGAAAACTTCCAGTTAGCATTCTTCAGTGTTTCCTAAAAATTTCCACAGGTCTAGCTTAGGAAACCTAGCCTTCCCAGCTGGAAGTCTGCCGGTGAGTCATGACTAAATGCCTTCCAAATTGCAAATCCATTCAATTTGTGCAGTTTCTATTCCAAAGGTTTCTTGTTAATTAATTAAAGTCTCGCTACAAGTTTAATTGAGAAGCCAAGTTTCTTCATAAGAAAAATGTCTTTCTCTGTTCTTTTTAATCAGAGCAAAAGATCCAAAAACGTAGCTGTGGATCGAAGGAGACACCTCTTAGGATGAGCTGCAGGTGGGAGCAGAAGGATAAGCAGGCAGCCTGGCTCTAGTCCTGCCTGCCTTCCTCTCTGAAAACAGCATGGCTCTGAACTGCTACGGAACGGTGAGGGGAACCCCAAAGGAGGTCCAGAGTTCCCTCCCAGGGACACAGTGTGATGGGAAAGTCTAAGGCACAGGTGCAACACAGAAGTCACCCCGAGTTCTGTTCATCTTCCTGATGACTGTGAACAAGTAAAATATGAATGAGCGTGATACTCTCAGATTTTTATTTATCTATTTTAAAGCAGAGACGGGGAGAGGAATGAGAGAAACACTTCTATCTGCTGGTTCACTTCCCAAATGTCTACAACAGCTGGGGCTGGACCAGATCAAATACAAGAGCCTGGAACTCAATACCAGAAGCTAGTATCAAAAGTGGAGCCCAGACTTGAACCCAGATACTTCAAGACATGATGGGGGCATTCCAAGTGACATCTTAACCACTATGCCAAACACCCACCACTTCCTGCCCCAAAATCTTTGGTTCATAAACAGTAGATTCAGCATTAACATCCCAACACATTCTAAATTTGCAAGATGGAAATATTTTTCAGACCTGTTGTCCCAAATCTTGGGTCTGGGGATGGTAAATTTTTAGGCTACTCTGTTGGTCAGAGGAGTTATAGGGTAAAATAACAGCACTGATAGAAAATAAGAAGGGTGGCAAGGCAAATGCATAGTATAGGCTTTACTCTTCCTATCTCTCTTCTTTTTAAATATTTATTTTATCTAATTGAAAGGAACAGTTACAGAGAGAGAGGAGGGGAGAGACAGAGTGAGAACAATCCTTCATCCCTGGTACGTTCCCCAAAGTTCTACAATGGCCAAGGCTGGGCTAGGCCAAAGCCAGGAGCTTCTTCCCGGTCTCCCATGTGGGTGCAGGGGCCCAAGTATTTGGGCCATCTTCCCCTGCTTTCCCAGGTGCATAAGCAGAGAGCTGGATTGGAAGTGCAGCAGCTGAGACTCAAACCAGCGGTGCCACAACACCAGCCCTCACTTTCTTTCTTAAAGCAGTAGTGCCCCTTTGGTGAGTGTTATGAACTAAATTTTGCTGCCCCCTCAAAATTCATATGTGAAGTCCTAACCCCGACAACCTCAGAATGGGACTCGATATGGAGAAAAGGCCCTTAGAGTTATGACTAAATTAAGATGGGACCGTTACGATGGAGCCAAATCCAATCCGACTGGCATCCTTGTAGGAGGCAACGTGGACACAAAAGGAGAGACGGAGGATGGGCATGCTCAGGAGAAGGGCCAAGTGAGGACAGTGGGAAGGTGGCCGTGTGCAAACCCAGGAGGGAGGCCTCCAAAGAAACCAACTCTGCTGACACCTTCACCTGTGCGGAAATAAACTTCAGTCCTTTAAACTGTACAGTCTGCTGCATTTTGTTACTGCAGCCCTATAAAACCAAGACAAGGAGAAACAGCAAAGCTAGTTGTTAGCTCACATTTGCTGCATTATCAAGGCACATAACTCCTAGCCTCTGAGGTGCTGGTACTCTGTCATTACCTTGCACTGGAAATTGGCATACAAATCTCTGCTTTTGGTGACTTTCCCATTGTAATTGTAATTACCGCTGCAATTCTGGCCAATCTGAAAGCACTTACACAACATCATTCTGAATACCAAGAGCCCAGTTCCCTGGACACCTAGTTATCTGCTACTGAACCACCTCAGATTGGTGGGCAGCATTACAACGGCCTCTGGTCCACTGCCCTTGCTGGGACTCAGGTAAATCAATACATAGCAACATTTTTATTGAACATGTTAGTACCTATCAACAAGGCAGAGCTCCTGGGACCATGTCCCACCAGAAGCAGTGGTGGGCAGCCCACAATTGAGAGTGAGGTTGTTTGTGATCACAACGCACCCTCCTCCAGGGCTGCTTGGCAGCAAGGAGGAAGGAACCTGACACATTCCCCGCAGGATGCCAGCCTGAAGCCTGTCAGTACAGAACCCTATTCATTCTCTCCTTTGTCAAGCCCCTTGGATCCTCAGGCTTGCTCAACTCCCCTCTGGCTGCTTCAAGCTCCAACTACAACTCACAGCAACTACTTTGGATCTGGTAACTCCCAGGATTTCCATTTCCCTGGCCCATGCCAAGCTGATCTACTCCAAAGCTCTCATGAGCAGAGCTGCAGTCACTGTCATAAATACCAAGTGACATCTGTGTTAATGGACCCTTTCCATTTCACCCAAATCTGCTTGTCGGTCTTCTTGAATTTGAGAGCTTTCTTCCCCCTCCTATTCAGTTCGAGAGACTTCCCCTAAGTGGAGAAGTAAGGTAACATGCGTGATTCCAAACTGCAAAGAATGTTCTTGTATGGAAAATATTCTGCTGTTGTAAAACATTCTGTCTTTGAAATGCACTAGTGGCATTTGCAGAAGCTAAGTAATTACAAACTGAGGAAAGAAGGAAGATGGAATGAAGGGAAGGGGAGGGAAGGGGAGGGGAATAGGATGGAGGCGTGGGAAGGGAGGGGGAGGGGAGGGAAAGGGTGGGGAGTAAGGGGAGGGGAGAAGAGGAGATGGAGGGGTGGGAGGAAGGCTGGCCAGCCAGGTCTCAGAGGTACACAGTCAACAGTTCATTCTTTGTATCACCAGACACTGAAGAGAGATTTAAATGTCTCAGGTTTAAATCCCAATTCCCAAAGACATTTGTTTTTTCCTAATAAACAACTATACTGACTCTGCATATTATTAATCTGGCATATTAATATGTACCTAATTCATTCAGCAATTTTGCATGCTCTAAATGACATGTTCCCAATGGCTATGCCAATAGCCCTTGCCCATAGGGAAAAGAGCAGCTCCCTGTTCATGCTGCCCTGGCATCCAAGGGGTAACCTCTCCAGCATGTAAGTGCCAGAACCAACCAGCTCCTCATACTCCCCAGTCACACCAGGAAGTCAAAGCTGGCACAGAGACAGGGAGTCTCCAAGGGCACCATCCAACGTTCTTCACCCAAGAGAGAAGTCAGATGCCTGTAGGCCCAGTTCACGGGAAGGCTCTTTGAGCTATGACTGGCCCAGCATCCAGACAACTAATCTTCAGTAGGAATTACACCCAACTGAACTCTGCCTGGCATAATCTCCATAAAGTTTTGGAAAGCAAGGCTTACATCGTTTAGGGCTTTTCCAACTCCCAGTATTTGTGCAGAGTAGTTACTTAATGTTTATTGTATTTAAATAATAGGTTTTTAAAATATTATATATTATATAACATTTATTTGTAAATATGATATAAATATTTATGATACTTTATATAAGTATTATATAAAATATATTTAAATAATAAATGGCATGTATTTAATAATTCAAATGTTTTTTCTTAAAAAATTACTTCAGGAATGATATCTTGAGCTGGTTTAATGCTTTGAAAGCAGTGTTTTAAGTTTTCTAATAGAATCAGATAAGGGAAATTCTTCGTGGGGCTACACAAAGGATGTGATGAATTCCCATTTAACAGAATTATAATGTTAGTGTTCATAGGCTCCTAGAAGTAATGGCCTAATATTGTTTCTCATAAACCTAAACTTTCAATGTGGATTTTTAATGGGTACCAGAATCTATGTGGTCAGTAGGTGGAGGCTGCAGAAGTACTAAAATTAAGAACTCTCTTTTTTTTTTTAAGTATTCTTTATTTTTTAAAAGATGTTATTTATTTATTTAAGAGGTAGAGTTACAGAGAGAGAGGGAGAGACAGAGAGAACAGTCTTCCATCTGCTGGTTCACTCTCCAAATGGCCACAACGGCTGGAGCTGGGCCAGTCCAAAGCCAGAAGCCAAGAGCTTCATCCAGGTCTCCCATGCTAGTGGAGGGGCCCAAGCACTTAGGCCATTTTCCGCTGCTTTCCCAGGCCATAGCAGAGAGTTGGATTGGAAAGAGGAACAGCCGGGACTCGAACCGGTGCCCATATAGGATGCTAGCACCACAGGCGAAGGCTTAACCTACTACGCCTCAGCGCCAGGCCTAAGAACTCACTTTCTTAAAAGACATTTTTTTCCCTGAGTCTAGCCAAGTCTTTCGTCTTTGACACTAAAGAATTCCAAGTGTAGGGCCCGGCGTGTGGCTCACTTGGTTAATCCTCCACCTACGGCGCCGGCATCCCCTATGGGCGCTGGGTTCTAGTCCTGGTTGCTCCTCTTTCAGTCCAGCTCTCTGCTGTGACCTGGGAAGGCAGTGGAGGATGGCCCAGGTGCTTGGGCCCCTGCACCCACATGGGAGACCAAGAAGAAGTTCCTGGCTCCTGGCTTCGGATCGGCATAGCTCCGGCCGTTGCAGCCATTTGGGGAGTGAACCAATGGAAGGAAGACTTTTCTCTCTGTCTCTCTCTCACACTGTCTGTAACTCTACCTGTCAAATAAATAAAAAATAAATAAAATAAAATAAAAAAGAACTGCAAGTGTAAAGAAGTAACCAACGCCCAAAAGGCTGGAGCTAGAGGGACGGAGGTCAAGGTGTGGGTGAAAGACACTTACTCTGTGCCGCTTTCCACCATCTGCGTGAGGAGAGAGATGCCATCCAGGTTTATGAACTCCTGCGCAAAAGTCACGTCGCGGGAGAGGCTGGCCAAGTCCTTCAGGGCCTCCAGCTTGGCATCCATACTCGATGACTGGATTCGCTCATGGAGCTGCTGGGCGCTTTGAGCCTCACCAGGGAAAAACAGAGGGAAGAGTGTTCACAAAGGAAGCCACTACAGCAAGAACAAGTCCCGTTTCAGGAGGTATAGAGACAAGGGCTGAAGGCACAGGGCCACGAGCACAGGACAGAGCCGCATCCCAGGAGCAGGTCTCCCACCACAGACTGCCTTCGGGGCAATGACCTCCCCTTTCACTGGGGTAACCAGTGAGCTGCTGAGTTTTAAGAAGGCTTGATGGAGTTTTATTGCTTTTTTTCAGTGGGACAAAATTTGACCCATAGCTCAGCAATTTTCACTGTTTTTAGCATATTATTTCAGAATAGTTTTAAATTTATAAAACAAAATTATGCAGTTTCCGTATATTCCTCATCCCCTTTCCCTTATTGTATCTCCTATTATTACACTTGTTAAAATGAATGAACCACAAGCAGCTTCTCCTACTTTTTTAATTCGAAAACCTTTCATCCTTCACATTTTTCCTGGCCTCTAGTAATCAGAATTCTGTATTCAAATTGAGTTGTCTTTTTTTTTTTTTAATTTTAGCTCCCATAAATAAGAGAGATCATGCCATTTTTTGTTTTCTGTGTCAGCCTTACTTCACTCAACAGGATGTCCTCCAGTGCCATCCATTTTGCTGCCAAGGACAGAATTTCATTCTTTTTTGCTCCTAAATAATTTTCCAGTGTGTGTGTGTGTGTGTGTGTGTGTGGGTATATGTGTATACCACATTTTCCCTATCCATTCATCTGATGATGGCCACCCTGCTTGAATCTGTTTTGTGGCTACAGAGAAAAGTGATGCCACAACAAGACGGAACAGGTATCTTTTTAACGTGATGAGTTCCTATCTGTGGGGTATATACCTGGTAGTGGGATTATTGATCATGTGGCAATTCCTTTTTCAGTTTGATAAGGACTTTCCATATTGTTCTCCACCGTGGTTGCACTAACCCACATTCCCACCAGCAGTGTTGAAGAGGTCCATTTACTCCACATCCTCGCCAGCATCTGTTGCTCTCTGTCTTTGATAAAAGCCATACTGACAGGGGTGAGGCGATAATCTCATTGTGGTTTGATTTGCATTTCCCTGATAGATAGTGATACTGAAACATCTTTTCATATTGTTGTTGGCCATTTGTAACTCCTTTTTAGAGGACTGTCTATTCAGGTCCTTTGCTCATTTCCTGACTGGACTGGCTGTTTTGGTGTTCTTGAGTTTTTTCAGTTACTGATAATTCTGGATATTAATCCTTTGCCAGATAAGTAGCTTGCGGATACTTTCTCCAGTTCTGTCAGATGTCTCTTCAGCCTGCTAATTGTTTCCTTTGCTGTGCAGAGGCCTCTGAGTTTGACACAATCCCCTTTGTCTAATTTGGCTTTTATTGCCTGTGCTTTTGGGATCTTAGCCAAGAAGTCATCACCTATAAAAAATGTCTTGAAGTGTTTCCCCAATGCTTTCTTCTAGAAATTTCATGGCTCCTAGGCCTATTTTAGGTATTTTATCAACCTTGGGTTGATTTTTGTATATAGTGGGAGGTAGAGATCTAATTCCATGGTGTTGTGTATGTGTGTGTGTGTGTGTGTGTAGTTTATATATATATATATGCAGTTTTGCCAGCAATATTTATTAAAAGATTATTTGATGGGGCTCAAGCTTCCATGTCAAGAAAGAACACAGAATATTAAAGCCCCAGATATTGGCGGCCAGTGCCATGGCTCACTACGCTAATCCTCCACCTGCGGTGCCAACACTACAGGTTCTAGTCCCGGTCGGGGCACCGGATTCTGTCCCGGTTGCTCCTCTTCCAGTTCAGCTCTCTGCTGTGGCCTGGGAAGGCAGTGGAGGATGGCCCAAGTGCTTGGGCCCTGCACCTGCATGGGAGACCAGGAGGAAGCACCTGGCTCCTGGCTTTGGATCAGCGCAGCGCGCAGCCCATGACGGCCATTTGAGGGGTGAACCAATGGAAGGAAGACTTTCTCTCTGTCTGTCTCTCTTTCTCAACTGTCTAACTCTCCCTGTCCAAAAAAAAAAAAAGCCCCAGATATTGAACATGTTGTGTGAGAGAAAGGAGGGTAAAACAGGGAGAAGTTTAATTTTTAGTTAAAAATTCTTATTATCTAGAAGTGACAAAAGGCTGTTTGCTTAGTTAAGCAATTACACAGATTTACACAGCACACCCAGCAGTCCAGTCAATACTCAGAAATAACTGCCTACACGTGATGTTCAAAAGCTTTGTTAGACACCCAAGCCACCTTGCTGGGCTACCGGAACTCCTCTGCACTACACAGTGATGCTTGTAAATTTCAATCTTCAACAACGCGTGTTTCATATACATTGGCTTCTTACTGTGTGACTTAAAAGCAAAATCATTTGAAAGCCAGATTAACAGCCATGCTTGGAATCAGACTTTTTCAGGCATTTGTACCTGACTTTCACATGCAGGACAGAGAAGAATGGAAACCTACCAAAAAAACCTGAGCCTCTGGAAAATAATTTATAGTCTATATGTGTCATTCACTCAGTCAAGGTTTCCATATTTACCTCTCAATTGAGGCAAGCAGTCAGAAAAAGAAAACATTAAATTTCTCTGTGTTTTTTGCTTAACAGAAATCTCTAAACACCTGTTGCAGTTATTATTTAACTCAAAAAGCAGTGACTGAAGCACTCTTCCATTGTTATATTCTCCTCTGCTACGTGCTTTCTCCTTTGAAATTCTATTTTGGAGAAGGGGAAGATGCAGTATTTGCCCCAACAATAAGGTTATCCCTCCCGAACACAAATTGGTAATTAGAAACAAGTGGGGAATCTGTAACCCCTGGACTTTAGGACAGGGCTAGGATTCCAAAGTAGAGGCAGAGAACACACCTAGGCATTAGGAAAACTGATGCAGACCATACTCTACTCAAAATGCAGTCCAGAATCTACTCAGGTGCTGGAAGCAAAAAAAAAAAAAAAAAAAAAAAAACTGCTGGTTTCCCCCTCACTGTCATCTGCAGAGAAAACACGTGCCATTCTTCAGGAACACACACGGTGGTGAGACCCATGCTCTCGGCACTTGGCCAGAGTACTAGTCTCCCACTTAATCACAACCAGAGACAGACTTCCTTTCTCTAAAAAATGAGAAGGAGGTGGAGGACAAAGGAGGTGGAGGCTGAGAGTCCTCCCTACTGATTCACTGGTGCACAAATAATTTTCAAATCACTCAAATCCGAAATGCCCATTTTTCCAACACAGGAAAGTGGCAGGTTGAGTGAGAATCACTTTATTTCTGTTGTAAAATTATTCTAAGATACATATCAGGCTTCAAAATATTCAAATGAATATTTCAAATGTGGATATATTTAATGTACATTTCAAACGGATATAATACTGATCTATAATAGTTAACTTTGAATTATTTGGAAAACATACTTTTCTCCAAATAGGAAATCTTTGTTTCCTATATAAATTATGAAGATGAGTACTGAAAAATTACTTCGTCATTATTATTAATAAGTAATAGCATTTGGAGATGCTAATACTAGTAATAAGAATACCTAGCACTTTTTATGAGCCAATATTCTGCCTTCAATATAATGCAATATTATTTAGCTATAAAAAATGAAACGCTATCATTTGCATCAAAATGGTTGCAACTGAAGGACGTAATATTAAGTGAAATAAACTGGACACAGACAAATATTGCATATTCTCCCTTATGTGTAGAAGCTAAAATAAAAATAAAATAAAATCCGGAAAAAAAAAGAAGTGTCTTTGTGTATTAGTTTTAGGGTAAATACAGTTTTTTTTTAAACTCTGCTTTAAATCTTTGTCAAACATATTGTTAAGGATGATATACTACTATAGTTTTAATGACCTGTGACAATTTTAAAATTTACTTTATATGGACAAATTGACAAAATTGACAAAATATTAATTCATTTAATCTGTAAGTAGTCCTAGTAGGCAGGTACTTTCAGTACCTTCATTTGAAGAAAACCAGGGGCAGACAAAAAAGAGCAAAGAAGTTAAGTAACTTGCCCGAAGTCACACTGCATTTCCCTGGGCAGCCACTCTGGAAAACGCACTCTGAACAGTGGGTCTCAGGTTATTCAAATTGCTGACTTCTTCCCCTCCTTCTCCTCCCTTTTAAAATTTTAATTGATACATAATAATTGTACTTATTATGGGGTACACAGTGATATTTCAAAACACATTCATATTGTGATCAGATCAGGGTAACTGGCACAACCATCCCCTCAAACTTTTACTGCTTCTTTGTGTTGGGATCAGTCTCAGTCATCTCTTTTATTTATTTATTTACTTTTATTTTTTTGACAGGCAGAGTAGACAGCAAGAGAGAGAGACAGAGAGAAAGGTCTTCCTTTGCCGGTGGTTCACCCTCCAATGGCCGCCATGGCTGGCACGCTGCGGCTGGCGCACCGCGCTGATCCGAAGGCAGGAGCCAGGTGCTTCTCCTGGTCTCCCATGCGGGTGCAGGGCCCAAGCACTTGGGCCATCCTCCACTGCACTCCCTGGCCACAGCAGAGAGCTGGCCTGGAAGAGGGGCAACCAGGACAGAATCCGGCGCCCGGACCGGGACTAGAACCCGGTGTGCTGGCGCCGCAAGGCGGAGGATTAGCCTAGTGAGCCACGGCGCCGGCCAGTCTCAGTCATCTCTAACAACTATTTTGAAACATACAATTGTTTCTGTGAACCCTACTGTTTGCCTCTTCTCCAACTGCACCCTTGTGCATTGTGCTGAACACAATCCCTTCTGTCCATCCCTCCATCCACTGCTTCTCCTCTATCCCTTCTTCTCTCCACCCTCCCCAGCCTCTGGTTACCATTATTCTACTCTACTTCTGAGAGACCAAAATTTTTAGCTTCTACTTATGTGGAAACATCTTATTTGTCTTTCTGTAACTGGCTTATTTCACCTAACATAATGTCCTCTATGCTTACCCACACTGTCACAAATAACAGCATTTTATTCCTTTTTACGGGCAAAGGATATTCCATTGTGTATA